GATAAGAATGGTCATGAGACCTACTATAGTGTTCAATGCTTAAAGACCATGTTACTTCCATTATAGCACTACAATATTAGAATGACAACCCTACATATGCTATTGCAGGGTACAGTAGTGATCAATAGAAGTCTAGTGGCCCTTAACTTCATAGCAGGTAACACTACTAGCCTTGAAACTGCATTGTTGCAGTACTGAGTAGTGACAATTCTTTCCAAGTCCAACAAAATGCACCATATATTTATGGTGCACATATCTATCTACAAGTCAATATGGTGCAGTGGTCTAAATGGTGGTTGAATGTGGTAGTGCTAGAGGTTGCTGGTTCAATCCTAGCTGGTGTCTTTTTTTTCCTTCGCATATCCGCTAATCATTGTATTGCTGTACATCACCATGCTAGAGACTAACTATGTCTGATATGATCCAACTAAAAACTGAGCTATAGTCTTGTTGGAATCTGTAGAATTCACACTCTAGTATCGGTTGGATGGTGTAGTGGTAACACCTCCCAGCGCATATGGGATGACTCGGGTTCAATCCCCGGTCTGACCAACTTTTCATTGTTCAACAAGTCTTTTATAGCATGAGCTTCTAGCATGTACTTGGCTCTGGTCTTGATTCTGGTCTTGGAATGGTCTTGGTGGTCTTGGTCAAGACCAATGGTCTTGGCCAAGACCACCCACCCGGCTTGGCCAAGACCAACAGTCTTGACCAAGTCCATTGGTCTTGATGTACTTGGAGTACTTGGTGGTCTTGGAGTACTTGGCCAAGTACCCCAAGACCACATTCAAGACCATGACATTTTGCTGATGCAACCTTGAAGGCTCCCTGTGTCTGACATTAGGGGTAGTCAAAGATGGCGGTTCGGAGGACGGTTCGTCGAGCGATTCTGCAGCGATTCTGTCAAAGGGAATCGTCCTGGATTCGTGTGGGCACTTTGACCACCCCACGTTTCTACGGGTCGATTCCAGGATAGATTCTTGAGTCGGTCAGGCCTTCGGGCGTCTGTGATATCAGAATTAGGTAATCTATGCATCCTCACGCAATGGTATCTCGACGTGTGCCGCATTGTTCTTCCCCCTACTATGCCTTGTTACAGCTCTCGGGCCCGCATAGCGAATATATTCAGTTTACCAAGACACGGCGCACTCAATTCCCGGTCTTTGTTCCAGAGCCAGCAGCAGGTTGCCAGGTGAGACGGCCGGACTTTCTGAAAGGAAGGGTTTCGGTCTGGTTGGACATTTGAAGGTGGAGGGAATCTGTACACCAGTGATTCTGATTAAAGTAGAGAAGCCGCCAGCTTCAAGTAGGGTCGCTCGTAAGACGTGCTAAGACAAACCCCAATAATAATTTGACATATAACCTATTTTAAGAGGGCTTATCCGAGGTCGGACTGAGGGAATCGAGTACAGAGAATCGCGATTCGGGTGGGCGGTGCTCCTCCAGACTCGCACCGGCGATTCGACGCGATTCTGCCAGAATCGCGGATTCCCCCTTCTCGAATCGTCTCCCGAATCGTTCCCTCGAATCGTCCACCGAACCGCCATCTTTGACTACCCCTATTGTACGGGCACAGCGGATAGCTGCCCTGATCCGTCCCTCTTCCCTCTCAAAACCGGCGACAGAACAGCTGCGCACCTCCGGCATTTGATATTCGCGCTGGCGATATTACAGACGATTATGAGAGCCTGAAGAAGACTCTCCAGGGCGTTGACACCCTCATCAGCTCCGTCTTTGCGTTGTCGATCGAGCAACAGAAGGACATATTTCGTGCTGCGAAGGAGCTCGGGGTCAAGCGGGTTGTGCCATGTGATTTCGGCAGTCCTGGAGCCAGGGGCGTACGAGTGCTGCACGACATGGTAAGTTCCTACTGTAGCATTTCGGTGCCAGCTAGGAGGCAAAGTAGACTCACTCGATGTCTTGGAACTGTGGAACGTACAGAAACTTGCCATGCGCGACTTCGCCAAGGATCTTGGCGTGCCTGTTGGAATCTGTAGAATTCACACTCTAGTATCGGTTGGATGGTGTAGTGGTAACACCTCCCAGCGCATATGGGATGACCCGGGTTCAATCCCCGGTCTGACCAACTTTTCATTGTTCAACAGGTTATGAGCCCTGTGTGACGCTTCGAAGGGAGCAGGGTCAGAGAACCCCCGCCTCGGGAAATGTGCCTGAGGGTAACTTCATTTGGAAAAGTTGGTTCCTTGATTGATCACCAGAGTGTGACTTCAGGGGGAGTGTTGGAATCTGTAGAATTCACACTCTAGTATC